GTTTCCTTCCTGCCTTCCTCACAGGATTAGCCCTGTAAAGTGGAAAGAAACAAAAGGAGATTTTTTTCCAACAATCAGTTCTCTGAACTGCTTAAAAAGTTAACAACCGGTTCTCCCAAATAGGTGCGAACTGGCTGAATCCCACCCCTGGAGGGTTCCTACTGGCTTGAACCGGTTCAGCCGAGTAGGTAGTAACCTGGCCTGGCACACCCTTGAACCGGTTCTATCGGTGATGCCATAGGTGGTGCCATCTTATGAGCGTAGTGCACATCATCCATGTGTGTGTGCACAACATGTGAGTGTAGTGCGCATAAGCATGTGTGTACGAAGTGCGTCCCTGAGCGAACCGACAGTAGAAGAAACCGGATGTCAGCATTCCAAATATCATCTAGAATTAAATCTCAGTCCAAGGCAGAGCTTTCATCAAAGTTCCAATTTAATAAGTCAGACATGTTGGCCCAAACTGTGGAATCCCAAATCTGAAAGCTTCCTGGGTTTTCCACCTAGTTGAAAGTTGATGATCTTCATGACCCATAAATCCATCACATGGTCCAATCTTCCTCTGCCACGCTGGCATTTCCATCCATCTAGTTCCGGTCAGGTGCAGAGGTGTGGAGACAAAGGACGACCTTGGGCTTCTAGAAAGGAATGTTCTATTTTGACAACAACACATTCTACTCCTTACTATTCCCCCTCCCAATTGCCCCACTAATGAAACAGCATAGTAAAATAAGAGAGAGTGTGGCAGGCCGAAGATCCTAAAAAGAATAAGACTACCCGTTTCAGATGCAGGCAAGCAGACAGTGGGATGGAGAGGACGGGGCCAGTGGTAGCTGTGCCCCCATTCCCGTTGGCCCCAACTCTCGTTGCCTCCCACACTTACAAAAAAATAAGACCTCCCCGAAAATAAATCCGAGCGCTTATTTTCAAGCCCAAAAGAAAATAAGTCCGTTTCTTAGGAAAGGAGATCTCTGTTTATTTGGGTTTCCAGAAACTTCAGCGACAGCAGCATGTTTCTGGAGTAGCTGACAAAATGGCTGAGAAAGTGGATGGATTTTTATAGGGTTCTGGGGTTTGGTGTTTGAGATGCTCCAGAGGGGTTGTGCAACGTAGGGAGCCTTGTGACTTTTGCTATTCCAATGCCAATGGGTAAATCCTATTATGTCCTAAAGGTCGTGTCCCGTCCTTAGATTTTGGGTGGGGGAATATAAATTCTTAATCGAAGTTCTGTGGGAGCTGGGGCTGAAGGCGTTTTGTTTACAAAGAGCAGGGATTTCTTAATAATACAAAATACCCATATGTAAAGATTTGAGGCTTCTGCTTGAGGATCTGCCTTTGTTAAGATTTTTCTCCATTTCTCCTTTGCGAATATATAATACTCTGCCTCTTTTAATACACAGAGCCGAGGTGGCGCAGTGGTTAAATGCAGCACTGCAGGCTACTTCAGCTGACTGCAGTTCTGCAGTTCGGCGGTTCAAATCTCACCGGCTC